ACAGTAGAGAGGTTTAGCACTCATCTTTATCATTACCCTCAAATGTTTCTGCCAAAAGCGGCAGTGTGCCTATCAAAACTAGTTAATGATACTGCGAAACTTTATTCCAAATCATTGGATTGGAAGGATTGTGAGGACAACCATCATTGTCCTCACATACCATTTTCACTGACATCCACCCAACCAAGGCCACCCCGACCAAGCGACGCAATTTCACCGAAGAGGAAGACATCATGCTACTGATTTCCCTCACTCTTTGAAACGCCTGATTATGAACAAGATTTGGAGAGTACCAAAATATAAAGTGAAAACAATATTAGTTTATGGAGCATCCTGGCTATTCAATTGCATGGCTGACACGTGCTCGCTAAACGACGACAGGTCAGTGTCGAGAATGCCAGTACGGTTCCAGCAGTTCACAACAGTGACCGTAAAAACGACGCGGTCGTTTTTACGGTCCTTGGCATCGGAACGGTAGCTTAGTGTAGAGTGTTGTTTAATAGCACGTCCAATTGTTGCCTTTGATGGTGTGGGTACAAGGGCAAACTTTTGAGCAGCCCAGGCCGCCAGCTCAGTGTACGTAGCAACTGGATGTTGCATGTGATGAGCATAAAGCTCGTGCTTTTCGGCCAAGGTCATGCGCAACTTCATGTTTTGAAATGCTAACCCAAAACTTGCTCCAACATGCATGTGAGCTTTGAATTTTCGAATTCACCTCCAGTTTCGATATTTATAAGTTTACAAAAATTATTCAATTTGACCCGTTTCAAAGAGCGAGGGAAATCAGTACTTCGGCAAGTCACGCTGAAAATGCCGTTCCAAGCACGACGTGGCCAAGTCATGGAGCGTTGGACTGAAGTAGCGTCGGGATTGAACACGGCCGATGAATTCAGACTCACGGACATCGATGCCAAGAAAGCATGTAACTGTTTCATCCTCCTTCTCGATGCCCATCGAAAGGCCAACAACCAGTCCCAACAAGCGTCCGGTGTTGCAGAGGACGTTGGTGAGAAGGTGGTCCTCCTAGATGACCTGATGGCGGCGTACGATGACGTTAAGGGCGCCAAAGCGCGGCGCGCCGAAGCAAATCGACACGCGGCGGAACAAATGGAAGCGATGGGGAGCCAAATTCGTGCCGAAGCTCTCGAATCCTTGGGAAAACGTAAACGGGACAAAGACGGCGACGACACTGCCACAGGTGGAGGTAAATTCAAGACTGTTTTTACACTCATGCATGAGCAAGCCCAAGCCGACCTTGAGTTTCAACGTACAAAGTTTGAAACTGAAGTGAATGAACGGCGTTTGGACCGCCAGCTTTTGGCAGAACAACTTCGCCAGCAGCAGGAATCAATGGCTGAACAATTTCGTCAGCAGCAGCCATCAAGGATTGCTCTGATGAAATTGATAGTCAAAAAGTCTACTAATAATTAACAAGGATAGAAATTATATTAGATTTCAATTACTGTAACGTGTCGAGGTATTGGCGTAAGGTTGGAGGCGCCAAGTTGAAAAATTCGCTAATTTGGTTTCCACGGAAATAGCAGCAATGACAATTGGTTAGCACCATTGCAATAGCAACTACCTTAGCCACAGGGGAGAGTCGGATTTTCGATAACATTTTAAACGAAATGTATGCCCAGAGCGTCTTTACTAGCTTGAAGTTCCATTCCACTGATTGTCGAACGAGGCTCATCCACTTGTTGAACTGCATTTTTTCGTTGCTGAGGTCAATCCCCTTGAATCCCGAAATCAAGTAAGGCACAATTCCATACGCTGGATCGCCATACATCGCTTTCCCCCAAAACACGTTTCGGCACCCCCCCAGGTACTTGATCAATCCGCTCTCACGCAGCATGGTCGCATCGTGGCGCCGACCTTCGACCGGGCCAAAAAAGTGCTCATAGATACCGTCAGGTGCAGTGACTCCCTGATCGTTGAGGCAGTGGATGCGCTTGTGCCCACTGTAAATTTGTTTTTGTAGGTTAACGCCATCTCCCGTCGCTGTGATGCGGCATGTTTAGACTTTGGTGCCGTCGATGAAGCCAAACACGTTTGAAAGAGGCACCCCCTTGGAGGCGACAGCACTGCAGTACCGATCAATGTTCTTGGCAACGAGTTTTTGGTTGAAATACAGCAAAGACCCCCACTGCGCGTACAGCTCGTTGATGACGTGCATGAAAATGTCACACAAGGCGGAACGCAATCGTCCAAAGGTTTTAGTCATAGTTTGGAACCGAACGGGGAACGCCAACCGACCCAACAACACACACATGGCCTCGTCCCGGTGCACTCGGACGCGGTTCTGCGTGGTGATCACTGCAGGCAAACCATGAACAAAGCCTAACTGCTGATACCAGCGATGTCGAAACGATAGTCCAGGATAGCAGCGGCGTCAGTTGTCGTCTCGAGCGAGAAACGTATGTCGGGGATGAGAGGTCGTTCCACGACATACGCAGCCATTAGTGCAAGTAAGGTTGCTCGTTGGTGCGGAGTCTTGGCGAAGGGGACAAACTGCATGAGGTTACGCTGTGTGATTGACATGGTCGCGGTACCGATACTTCGTATGGCACACCAGCATCCAACGAAGGTATCCGTATTTCTCGCTTATCCGGATTATTGTTATGACAACGATGGCAAAAGAGTTGCGAAACGAATAATATTTTGTCATTATCATTATCCTTGTCGCCGAATTTGTCGAATATGTGAGGATGAGGGAAATGTAAAGATGAGTTGCTAATCCTCTCTAGTGAATTGAACGAACAGTGGGGTCTGTGAGTTGAACCGATTATGAAACTGACAAGAAAGTTGGAGCGTTTCATCGTTGTTGCGCTCGATGCACGATGATACAATCGCCGCCTGCGGATGCTTTGGCGCCGCCAGACCCAAAAGAGCCGCCTCGTCCTCGTTGCATCTCATTTGGTCGGTGGTAGCTCCTTTCTCTGTCTTCCATTTGGACCAGCCAATTCTTTGGATTGCCAAACCCGTCGCTTAAAGGCAGGAAGCATCGAATTGACAACCCTTGACGAACGCAACAACACTCAAACCACATTAACTTAACTGTCAAGTCGATTCGAAATTGGAGTGGTGTGCTCAATCGAATGAGCAGCACCAAATCGGCAGAGAATCGATCGACCAATCAAAAACCACAACTCGAATCATTGGTCAATCAAGTCACCTCTTCTAATGTCCTCAAATTTCACAATTTTGACTTTGACGAGCAATACCTTGGTGAAACATACATCAAATTCTATAAAGCTTGAGCATAAGATGTAGAGTGTTCAATCGTCTTTCACGTCTGGTAGTACATCCAATTCGTCATAGTTGTTGAGAAATAAAAAAAAAGCTAAGGCCCTGATCGGGGAATAACCCTGAACGACGTAATTTTGATTGGTTGATTTATCCGTATTCCGGTTGCATCCAGGGTTGACGTCGTTCAGGGTGGTCGTTTTCAACCCTGAGCGAAACCAACCCTGGATGCAATTAACCGTGCAATTTAATTTCCCTACACATTACAAGTAATAATATTATTGCAAATCATATTAATGTATTTTGCACAAATCGCCGATGTTTCCTCATCAGACGCACTCACCGATAGTTCGTGCCATCAATGAGACTCGACGCTTGTCGAAACCAATCGTGTTGCACGACACATCTACACAGGAGGCCAATGCCTCCAATGCTATCTATCTACCCGTGCGGTTCGTGCCGTAGAGGTTGCTGCTTCACTGCTACCAGCTCGTCAGCCAAGGATGCGACCGTAAGCTGATAGCAGCGAAGCAGCGGTGGCATGCGATGGTCGTATATGGTACCTCAAATAGGCGCTAACGATGAATATGATCAATATTCCGACCTCACCTAGTATTTGTATGCACTAATTTTGGCCAATGAATCGCCTCAATTATCTATTTCTACCTATCATACTGTAGTAGTATCTTATCCTACACCATTTTGACCAATCAAAGTCATTTAGGGGTAGGGATAGCTCAATTCTGTCGGTTTCCGACGAACGTTGTCGGAATGGAATCTGAAATATCGTGGTCTCACATACAAATTCGGAATATGTCGAACTATTTGGTGAACGATCACATACAAATGCAGTGATCGTTCACCAAATAGTTCGACATATTCCGACATTTAGGCAGTTACTCGTAATCAGGTTTGCTAAATATAGGAATGCGATATCCGTCATAATGCGATATCCGTCATAACGAGGCCGCTGCTCGTTGTAGTTATGTTTACACGTGAGTAAGTGGCGTTGCACCTTAGTTCATGCTATCCTCATCATACCTACGAAAGACTTACCCTACGGACGCATTAGGTCTTCATTCTAGGTGTACATCTGGGCCCTTACGTTTTCACTGTACCCTTCCTACTTAGTAGTATTCAATAGAATCGTTGTCGGAATGGGGTGTCGGAATGAGTATCTGGTCGGAATATTCATGCTATCGTTACTGTCACGAAGCAAGAAACAGGAGGTAGGCGAGGGTGATAGGCGTGTAGCAACTTTGCGCAGAGTGCCCAAGACAAACCAAGTGTGCGGGACAGGGAAAAAGCAAAAGTGACATTCAGTCGTTTACAACTATCTAGTTTTGTTCGTATTGGCTAAAACTCAGCCAAAGGAAAACACTGACCTGTGAGAACCAGCGCTCTTTTCCTTGTGCTAGAGC